CAGAGCAGAAGTTTCTGTATTTTAGGGAAGGGTCTGCACGGTGCTCGGGGTCTTGCTACTAGATCCCACTCGTAGTGATCCACCTGTTTACAGCCTCCCAAGAGCTGAGATTACAGGTGCTGCGCACACCACACCCAGTCTCAGTTGCCATCTCAGTGCACCCCGGAGGCAGGACTAGCATAGCAGGCCCAGGAATCAAACCCTAGGCCCCTGTACCTGCTTGCAGGTGCTTTAATCCGCTGAGCTATTAGGCCAGCCCAGAAGTTTTTAATTTTATTTTATTTATTTATTTATTTATTTTAATATTTTATCTTTATTTATTTATTTTGTGTGTGTGTGTGGCCAGTTCAGCCCAGCAGGGGGCGGGGCTGGCTGGCATGTGGTGCTGGGGATTGAACCGCGGTCCCTGTGTTTTTGCTTAGCTTGTTCTATGTAGGTGCTTTAGACCACTGAGCCATCTCACCAGCCCCAGAAGTTTTTAATTTTAATGAAGTCCAGCTAATCAGTCCTTTCTGTCACGGCTCATGCCCTTGGTGTTGTATCTAGAAGAAAGAATCACTAAGGCAGGTGTGGTGGTAGACACTTGTGATCCCAGCACTCAGGAGGCTGAGGAAAGAGCACTGCGGCGAATCTAAAGCTAGCCTGGCTACATAGCAAGACCCTGTGTGTGTGGTGGGGGAAGGGCATCCCCCAAGGTTAGCTGGCTTCTCCAGGAGTTTTAGTTTTGCATTTTACATTTAAGTCTGTGGTTCAGTTTGAGTTCACTTTTGTAAAGGATACCAAGTCTGTGTCCAGATTCTTTCCTTCTTTCCTCTTTTTTTATTCTGAGGGGAGGGTTGGGGAGAAGAACCATGCCTGCCCAACTGTCCAGCACCATTTGTGAGGCATGCCCTGGTTTCTCCTCCACCGCGCTGCCTGTGCCTTGAGCGCAGGAAGCTGTCTCCCTTCTGTCTGTTGGCTCTGCTGCCCTGGCAGTGTGTCTGCTCTTCACCCGCCACACACCACCTTGGTGACTGTAGCTCTTCAGCGCACTCTGAAGTCAGATGGTGTCAGTCTCAGCAAGGCTCTTCACTGCCTGGCAGCTGTCCTGGGCCCTTCACCTCTGCATCAGCACTTTAGGGTCAGTCTGGTGCTCTCTGGAGGCACTTAGCTATGTCTCTTTCAGCAGCCTGCCTGGTAAGGTCAGACCTCAGTAGGACGATACTCTTTTCACTTAATTCAGATTATGCTCGCTGGATACCAGTCACATCTGCACTATACCCTTTGCCTCACTACACGGCATACTATTGGGGCTGGAGCCTTCCTACTTGCCAGTCTTGCCTGTACATGGGGAGGGCACAATAGAATACTGGATGCCCTTTTTGTGCCCACCACAGAGTAGCACCAAGGACCTCTTGTCCTGTTTGTTAAGTCCTGTGTCCCAGTTTTGGCTGTGCCCAACCCAGAGTAGAGCACCGTTGAGTTAAATGATGTTTACATCTTACTTAGAGAAACACTAAAGCTCAGTAAATGAAGCTGTGGGGCTGGTGATTAGTGTGGTCAGAAGCCTCCTCAGCCTGTTGGTCCCTGAAGCACAGGCCCCCCATGCTTACCACATTTCCCACTAGTCCCCTATCTGAGCTCTTCAGCTCCTGTCCCGCTGCCCACATCCTGCCCTTGCTCTTCCTGGCCTCTCTCTGAGGGCCTGCAGCATGGCCGCTCCTGGGGCAGCCTCTGCTGCACCCTGTCCTGGGCGCCACCTGTCTCTTCTCTGGGCCACAGCATCCACTTGGCCCAGCACCCTCCCACTGCTCTCCCCCGCCAGCCCCAGGTCCTTCCTTCGCGCTCACCCAGTGGCTTCCTTGATCCCGCCCTGGTAGTTGAGATGCTGCCTTCCCAGGCTCCCAGGGCCACTCCTGTGACAGGATTGCTTGTTATAGCTGCCTTCACGTGGGAGGCATGCTTGGCCTTGTGCCCAGGGTCAGTAGCCTCCATGTGCTCCCAAGAAGTAGACTCAATCATGTCTGAGTGGATGAGTGGAAGGTTACTTAGCATAAAAAATAATAATAAAAAAATTAGAAACTATACAGAATTTCACTAAACAAAGTGATAGAAATGTGGTTATGGTTTTTATACTGCATGTTGTTTTCAAATTAGTTGTTCAAATTAACCAGATATAAGCATGCAAAATTGTTCAAAAATTTTTAAAAAAAGAAAAAAAATTTAATCATTAACTGCTCCCTCAGGAGGCCAGCAGGGCTCAGCCATCCAGTCATAATCGCCCAGCTCTCCTGCATATGTGCACACATTTTTCTTTTTCCCTTCTTTGTTCTCCCTTTCCCTCACCCTGTTCTTCCCTTGGAACAGTTCTTCCCCTTTCACAGTATCCATCACACCTTTCAGATTCTGTTTACTCTTCAGGTTCTTACAGTAGGGTGACAATGTGATGTTTACACATGTGGGTCTGACTTGTTTCACTTATGACTGGTCTCTAATTGCATGCATTTACCTATATAAGCCTTGAGTTTGTCCTTTTTTATAGCTGAGGAATACTCCATTGTATAAAAACATCACAACTTTTTTTATCCATTCCTCAGTTGATGGGCATTTGGGTTTTCCAAGATTTAGCAATGACAAACTGTGCTGCTATGAACATAGGTGTACATATATGACTGTGGTATGTTGTTTTCAGTTCTTCTGGAAAAATACCCAGGAGGAGAATAGCTGGGTTGAACAGGACCTCCAATCCTAGCTTTTTGAGGGATCTCCACACTGATTTCCATAGTGGTTTACCAGTCTACATTCATACCAACAGTGGAGAGTACTTTTAATAAGTTACTTTTTTCTGTTGCCTTTGAAATCTTTCTAACTACTGCTTTTCTTCTTTACGATCAGGTACTTTGACTATCATATCAGAGATGTTATCCCTTCTTATATGTTTTGTTCAGATCAAAAATTAGCATATAAAGTGCCTAGGACACAATGGTAGTCTCAAGCCCTACATTTCGTGATTTCCACGGTTTGTGCTCTTTTCCTCCTGAGAGAGACGTGGGCCTCAAATTCATGCTCCAAACTATGTGCCATTCCACTTCCCTGTACTCCTGTCCAATAACTGCTGGCCAATTCCATGTGTGAGAGCTGCGGGAGGAGCCCCTTCCCACACTGGGTGGGCTTGGACCGGCATACTGGCCAAGAAGTGCAGTTACCTCGTACTGCACAGGAGCTCAACCTTGCAGTGCAGCTCTGGGTGGCCTTGGGCGTGGGCAGATGAGCCTGAACAGTGCTGTACCTACTTGAGAGGATATTGTTAGACTCTTCCCTTGTAAGTTTTATGATAAGGCCAAGTGAGCTGTGAAATGTCTCGTGCACATACCAACCTTGAACAGAAATACAGTGGATGTTAAAGCCCTTCTCCCAGCGAAAGACTCGTTGCCCCCCATTAATCCCTCTCAGAACCCCCCTTCGCTGTACGCACATGCGCCCCGTCCCTCATGTGATGGCTATCTGCAGCAGCTCTGGGGTCCTCTCTCCGGAGGGTCTTGACTTTTAATTGCACTGTCGTAGTTGCCTTGATGTCCTGGATGGATTCAAAACATTGGCCTTCCATGGTTATTCTGACTTTGGGGAGGAACCAGAGTCTCATGGGGCCAGATCCAGGTAGATGAAGACACAGTCATGTTTGTAGTTCAGGGTGAGGGCCCTGGGTTCCATCCCCATTACCAGCAGAGAAGGAGAAGAAGGATGTGGCAGCTGACAGAAACAGTGCCTGGGAGGAAGCCATGTGTTCGCTTTCCGGTCCACAGGGTGCAGCCCTGGGGGTCTGGGTACCTGGGTTGTGGGTGCCCTGGTGTGAAACTGTCGGCTTAGCCGTGGGGCCCTCAGCAGGCCTCAACAGGAATATCTCGGAGTTTACTTTTCCTTATCCTCAAAATGATTTGTCCATGGGCTGGAGAGATGGCTCAGTGGTCTAAAGCACCTACTTGGAACAAGCTTGGCAAAGCACAGGGACCGCGGTTCAATCCTCCAGTACCACATGCCAGC